GTGTGTGTGTGTGTGTGTGTGTGTGTGTGTGAGACACACACACACACTCTCTCGGCCTGTAAGATTATCAAAATGTTCAATACTTCAGTGGTATCTGAATCTGACCCGTTATCGACGGAATGAGTCTGACGTGTAATCTGCTTTACAGAGACTGGCCGTTTGGGTCCGTTCGTGTCAGCAGACTGCTCGGCCCGTTTCCCCTCCCATCCTGGAAAGCTTACCTTCTTTATCCCCGACGGTGCTCCTTGTATCACTAGTGGAGTAAGTTATTTAAAGCAACTACGTGGAACTTTTTTGAGGATTTTAGCGCCCCCCTTTGGACAAATGCTTTCTTTCAGCGCCACCACCTTGCATCGTGAAGATGGTGTATTGATCTGGCTAGTGGGTCCACTTGTTTTCTCTATTACGTTTAACTTGCTAACATACTACTTCCTGCAAAACTTTGCCCGTGGAAATGTAAACATAGGCTCTTCTGGTCTGTGTGCCATAAATAATTTTGTCCGATTTTGTGGAGAATCATACAAGACAAATATTTGATTATTCGTAATACCTATCTTCTTGATTGTCTCATCTGCTTATGTTGGTCATATAGAGGCATCAGTATGAAATTGTGTTTCATAACAAGTTAAAAATTCCTTTTTAGTAACGTTAACATGAATGGAATATTGTGGCCGGCTTGTACCAATTATATATTTATGTGATGCTTTTTTCCCAGAATGATCGTCATCTCTATCTCGTGGTAAATGATCAGAAATACATCCTCTCCTGTCCAGTCAATCCTCAGTTCCCCCCTCCGCCTCCAACCCAGGAACCGATTGCTCAGATTCCTAACATCCCCCGCTACCCCTATCCTGGATTCCAGTACCCTCCGCTGTCCCAGGTCTTTCCTCCTGACCCACAACCTGACATACTTGCAATGGCACAAGCTACATCCTCGCCAACCATTAACCCGGTGCAGGAAAGCTCTTCCCAACCATTTTCCAAATTACCTGTTGGCTCTTCTGAATATGCACCTGGTTGGTATTACCCCTATGTGCCGTTCTACTACCCTGCAGCAACACCAGCTCCAACCTCTGCAGCTAAAACATCTACTACTGTTCCTCCAGCAAGTCCCAATTACCTTCAGTATTATCTTCAGATGCCTTATTATCCTGCAGCACCAGTGACCCAAGCACCTGCTTCTTTCACTCCCAGCCCGCCACCGCCTCTTCCCTCTCCACCAAAACAACCTGTTGGTCCACAGTACCCAGTCCATGGTGCATTTCATCCCCCTGCCTCTTCCAGCTCTTACTATCATTATAGACATTTTTCCTATCCGGGCCTTGAAGTGCAGCCTGCTTCCGCTTCACATCCTACTTTCGCACCACCTTCCCCTCTTCCAACCACTACCACACAAACCGACAGTCCCAGCTATCCATTTGGCCAGTTTCCCGCCCAAACACCCAATTGCTACTACCCTCATCCCTATTACCATCCTCTCTCCCCGCCAATCTGCCATCCACCTTACCAGCCTTTGCCCCAGTATCCAGAGAATCAACCACCAACCATCACCGCTACAATGCCTGCCAGCACAAGTTCTACACCTTCTACCACAGCTGGACCCACTCAGCATATCCCCCAACTACAGTGTCTGATTGGGAGAATGGTTGTCTTCCTGCCTTTTGCTCACCCAGACACCATCCAGGTCAGAGGTCAGTGTTTGTGTAAAGATGAGAGCTCTTTGTGTTGGTAAGAAGTGTAGCGTTTTACATTCTCAAAGGGAGCCATATGTCTGTCTTAAGGCCCCATGTAAATATCTTTAAGCCCTGCTAGCCGCACTGGCTATAGCAAAGGCAATGTTAGTCTGCCTGTTGATCCTCTCCTTTGTTCCAGGCTGAAATATTTGGTGGAATCTGATGAAATAATATACAGACGGTCATGGTCCCTAGAGGATGAATCCTAATGGTTTTAATGTTTACCTGGCAGCCTTTTCTAGCCTCGCCAGCAGTTTTTCAAGGGAACTATCTGTAAATCTACTTGATAGATTTGGCCCAGAATTTTGTACAGGCATTCATGGTTTGTAGATGATTTATTCTTCTGACTTTGTTGATTCCCTGACTTCTCTTCTAGCACTACCATCAGGACATTTCAAATTGTTCAATACTTTGGTTAGTGATTAGATAATCATTCAGCCTCAGGTGTTCTTTCTGTTTTATGATCATTAAAAAATGTTAGCTTGCTAGCATACTAAACTATTATGGTAAACATTAAACCTGCTTGCCTTCTGCATGTTGGCATTGTCGCTGTAAACATGTTAGCATTTAGCTCCAATTGCCGCTATGTCTCACAGAGACGGACGCAGTAAGAACAGTGATCTAATGTTTTTATTTTATCCAAACTTGGAGTGAAAGTGTATTTATCTTAATGCAATATGTTGTCAGATAAGCACCGACACAGGTATCCACAATTTGGTAGCTTGCTCAGAGACCAGTGTAACTAGATCAGCTTTTACTTCAAAAATGTAAGTATAATAACTGTTTCAGAAATCAAAGAACTTACAATCCTTGTTTCTAACAGACCAAATGAAGACATGGCTATTCGTCGCCAGTGTGTCTCCACAGTGTGGGTTCATGCTGCAGACGGCTGAGGGCTATGGGGTAATCCTTCACTCTCCTCTGCCCGCCTGCCACAGCCAGTTACTGGTGAGCTCTTCCGTAATGCCTCGTCACTGCCTACTAATGTCTCGTCTTTATAGAATTGCTTTACTTTATTCACGTCCCAACAAGATTGTTTCTTTGGAGTTTAATTATTTGATTACAGAATGAAAACTCATAAATCTTTAAATTTGCAGTCTCAATGAAATGGCATTGTGTGAGCCTTTTTAAATCGGGTATACAGCTAAATAAACGTTGGCAAATAAGAAGAACACAGTTTCAAGGAAGTTCTTGGCTACCATAAAGTCTCATGCTGCCTTCACACGATGAGCGACACAGCAACATTCTGCACGTCATTTTCAATGGAAGTCGGTATCATGAAACTACTAATTGACAGCCGACATGTTGTGTGACACGCTGCAAATCAAAGTTGAGCTGGTCTTTTTTCAGTGCTCCAATTATACAGCGAAGAGTCAACCTGATCCACTCCATCCAAAAGAAAATACTGATAGCCATTTGCTGTTTAGCAACAGAACTACGTCAACGAGCGCTTGCCACGCTTGGTCGTTTTGTAGCTTTAGTCACTCGTAGTGTGAACACGGCATTAGTGACAGGTGTGTGATCAAAACTGCTGACTTGGGAGGAAATCCTACACACTATCGGCCACTTGTACTCACTTTATTAACAATGTGACGGCCTTTTGATGAAGGTCTGACTACTGAAGTTTATGTAGTTTCATCCAAGTAAAAAATATTGTACACATTGCCAAACCAATAGACTCTTAATTATAGACTAATCTGTACTATCATAAAGACAATGAAAATTATAGTGTGTGTGCGCACACAGGAACAGGGAGACAAAATACTTTAAATGCCTCAATGCAGTCCAATATGCCACCACAAAGAACAAAATTATCTTGGATTGCTGACGCTGGTGGTTTGTACCACTTGGGTTGTCACTAGAGCGATTTATGACACCAGTCTAGCGTGTATATAGAACAGGCGAGCAGTTTTTCAGCAGCTCATAATTACGATTAATCCCAGATGGACTGTACGCAGCCTTTGCTCTGCATGCATCTGTACTCTGTTTTTATGTTCTGTGCAACCCAACTGATAAAAATGCTTTTTTTTTTTTTTTTGAGTTTAACTCTATTTTTGACTACAGTAGCTGTAAACCATGCGTGGTGGTTCATGCTGACTTTATTGATTTTGCTTTCTCTTTAGACTCCCACGACCGTTTCCTTACTTCTGAGGTTTTGGGACCTTTCCGTGGCGCAGTATAGAAGTCTGGACCTGCGGTGCCCGTATCAAACTACTCCTGTACCAGTTACCCCACCAGTGTCTCCCACCTCACCCAGCACCACCAAGGACAAGGTCGGCCCTTATGTTGTTCCAAAGCATAAAGTCTTCTGCTCCTCCCATCAGATGACCCTGGAGTTCCCCTCTGGTCCTTTCTCTGGAATTGTTTTTAAAGGTGTGTCAATATGCATGTTCCAGATGCATATGGTTGCCATCAGCTCTGCTTGAGTTGAATTTTAGCATGGTTCACGGGGGCCACTCTGGTGTACAGTTGAATGGGGGGGAAGGGAAAAGGGAGGCTTGGTTTTAGTTTAGATTGGGGCTGCATTTAAACTCCGTGCCCTTGCCATGCTGAGAGCTATCATGCTGCCATTTTAAAGTCTACTCAAAAGTAACTTGTATGCTTCCACGTGTACATCTCCAGACATCGAAGGGAACCAGATGAGCCTCCAGGATGCCCCAAAGCACTGTGGGTATTCTGCAAGAAGAGGCAAAGATGGCAAAATACATCTGATTATCCAGTTACACTCGCGCTGCCACATGAGCATGCAGGCAAGTATTGACTCAGATTTCACACTGAGCACATGACCTTTTTGTTTCAGTGACCGTTTGCTGTGCCCATTAACTGTTGCATAAACATTTTTCTCCAAAAGGGTAAAATGTTCATCATCACTGTCGTCTACATGACAGTAAATGGGAGACAGGAGGCTCAGTTTTCCTGTCCAGTTGTCATCCCAGGGTCTGGACAAGGTAAATGGATTTTATGTTTACGCCTCCAGAAAGGCTATTCAATTTGCCAAAGGGTGGTTTTCTCCCGGCCATTCAGAGTTATTTTAACTGATGCGGCTGACATTTGTCGTGCTGTCCTTCAGAGTGCAACATTCCCAGTGAACAGCGTCTCCCCTGCGGACCCGGCTCTGTGTCCCCTCCACAGTGCCTCTCCATGGGCTGCTGCTTCGGCAACCACCCCCCTGCATGCTACTACCCCATGGACGGTGAGCCGCTCTTTGCGTCCCCGACTGGCATTTTCACGTCACTTTAGCTGAGTACAGTTGAGCTGATTCTGGTGTGGAAATATAAGCGCTCCAGCTGCTGGATGTGTGAAGCGCTGTTTTCAGGGCCAACAGTAGCTTGATTCATGCTGGCAGTGACTCAGAACCAGAAAAGGGTAGAAGATACCTTGGGTCTCATTATCAATCGCCTCCTGAGATGTCTGACCTTTTTCTTTTCATCTGACCTTTACATGACGACGTGCGTTTGTGTCCTCCAGAGTGTACTATTGACCGCCACTTTGTCTTCTCCGTGCCGGCCTCCCTCACGAAGCCCTCTCTTTCCCCTGCCCTGCTGGTCGTTGCCGGCAACTCCACCTGCAAACCGCAGAGGGTGACTTCCGACTACGCCTTGTTCAAGATCCCGATGGACGGCTGTGGGACACGCAGAGTGGTAGGCTTTAATGAATGACATTTCCCAAAATATTGAAAAGCCAGAAGGGCCTTGAGTCATAACTGCTTGTCTGGACGGGTTTCAGTAAATGGATTATTGATTTAAAGGCCTTGTCTGGTGATTAGTATTTCTAGTGTCCACGTTCTAAATTTCATGTCCAATTCTATCCTGACAGACAGTGGGGAACGCAGTGATCTACATGGTGGAGGTCATCAACATGGTTCAGACACTCAGCCTCAACTACGGCACCATCACAAGGGATTCTTCTGTCAGGTCAGCGCATGTTAAGTTTTTTATTCTTGGAGTAAAAACCTGTTCAGATTAGATTCAGGCTTTCAGATTATTTAAACCTGCAATGATTGTTTCTTTGTCTCTTGGGAAGTGGAAAGAAGTTGTGAATATATTGCTCATTGTGCTTGTGTCCACCGCAAACTGACTTCAAACATCCGCTCATTAGGGCTAACGCTGCTCGCTAATCGCTCCAATAACAGCTTGCTTTCTCCGCATGTTGGCAGTAGTATTATAAAATGCAGAATGTCCAGCCTAGTGTGGACATTCGGTGTAAACTTAGCAAAAGATCTGCATTTTAAAATGCAAATGTGGTAGTGTGGACATGGCCTTAGTTTTGTTTTAGTCTCCACCAACTCCTGAGAGACGCCTCTGGTTGTTTAGCGGTGGTTTCCTTGTCAACTGTCAAAAAAAGACAAAAATGCCCCTCAAACAAAACAAAAGCATTCTGTATCTTTCCATTATCAGGTTGTTGGTGGAGTGCAGGTTTCTGCCAGGCACTGCTCTTAGTGTGAGCTACTTGGTGAAAACTCCCACCCTGGGACCTGAAGTTCCGGCCCAGGGGGTGTTTGGGGTCCAGCTCCGGATCGCCAAAGGTAGACTGTCTTCATTTCAATACAAACAACTACTCTGCATGAGGAGCTTGTGATTTAGTGTTGTTGGATGCAGGTTTATGCCAATCAAGAGGCATGGAAACTGATGAGAAATTAAATTAATATCCAGTGTTTTCGAACCGTGTGAATGCTTCAAGCACATACTGATCAGCTGTTGGATAACTAGCTTTTGAGTGGGTGGAATTTAGTTAGAGAAATATTCCAACACACCTCCTCTCACCCCAGATGCCCAGTACAGCAGCTACTACCCCCAGAATCACCCGCCCCTGCAGATGCTGCTGGGGAAACCCCTCTACCTGGAAGTGCGGCTGCTCAATTCCCCGGATCCCAGCTTGGTGCTGCTGGTACACTTCTGTGTGGCCTACCCCCTCTCTGGAAAGGCTGTGTGGCTGCTGCTGTACAACGGGTACGTCGAAACATCTCTATAAAGAAAAAGTATATTGAGCAGCGGGGGGTTACTGTGGAAGTAGTGTTTTTCCCTGAGAGGAGATGAAGGGAAGTATATTTTTGCTATTGTCCTGTTATCTAATTGGCTCACTGATTCAATGTTACTCCAAAGATGTCCCAACCCCTATGACCCAGCCCTGCAGCAAAGTGTGGTGTCTGATCCTCAGCCACCCACTCCTCAGGCTCAGACCCGCCGCTTCACCATCAGCACCTTCCAGTTCCTTCCTGATGGCGAGTTCAGGGACCTGAGCGAGGAGGTAAGGATAAGAAGAGGCCCTTGAGGTCTATCAATTACAATAGTGGCACATCATAAACATCTAACTGTATTGTGTTCTTTTCATGATTCATTTAGAGACCTCTTACAGTAGTATTCATTTCCTTCAAGTGTTCAAACTGAACTAGAAGTCGGGTAAAGGTGTTCTATCAGGAAATGGCATTTGAAATCGTTTATGGCCATATTTAAAGGAACAGTTTGACATTTTGGGAAATGCACTTTCTTGCCAAAAGTTAGAGTGGATTGGGGCCACCCTCGTAATTGAAGGAAAATATGAAGCTACAGCAAGAAGACAGTTAGCTTACCATAATAACTGGAAATGGGGGGGGGGAAACGCCCATTAGTCCAAATGTAAAAGGAAATCTCCCTCCCGGACCTCTAAAGCTAATCAATTATTATGTTACATCTTGTTTGTTTAATCCATGCAAAAATTGAATTGTAAAAAATTAAGTGCTGGTAGGGTGAATATTCATTTATTGTTTTTTACGGCATATAGTCCGTGGAAAATGAAACCATTCGCAGTTGTATCTCTTAAGTCAGAATTTATTACAAGGACATGTGGAGAGGCCATTTTGTAAACTGCAAACTCTGGCCAAATCTCAATTGGCAGCAGCTGTTTGTCATAGTACGCTGCACACTGTGTAGACTGGCCGCTACATCAAATCCTGCTCTACTTTTTCCCTCTCAGAACAACTTCATGTGCTCAACCGAAATCTGCTCGCCGCATGACGGGCCTTGTGTCGAGGGATGCTTCGGCTTGTGACGGTGAGGAAAATGGGCACTATATACAGCCACGAACAAGCCCCGTTACAACACTCCTCACTGCAAAGAGCCAGCAGTAGCTGCAGTTCTGTATGACAGCAGGGCGATGATTTAGTAATGAGGAAAGTTTTTTTTAATTATTCATCAACTCTGATCAATTTCCTGTTTTTTCAGTTTACGACACGGAAGACGATAGAAGATGGCTGTGATGGTCTGGTAAGCAGTACTAATGTGTCGATCATGTCAAAATACACGGTTGCTCTTCTATACTGAACATGTCTCCTCTCCTCCCTCTCAGGCCTTCAGACATCACTTGTTCAACCACCAATAAAAGCTCTTAAAGGACACTAAGTGCGTCTGTTTATTCCTAAACTTGCAGCCACTTGATTTTACAGCAGGACGTGGCACTCGCACATAAAGTGGGAGGCGGTATTGTTTACATGAAGGCTTGTGGACGGAGCGTGATTGAGAATCAGACTGCCTCGCTGTTCCGCCCTTCATGTGGAGCATACCGTAGGTTTACAGCGACACATGTTTGAACACGTACGTTTGATCGCGCAAACAAGGCCGGATTAACTTGGTTGGGGGCCCTGAGACAAAAATGAGCTGTTGTGTCCCTATAAACCCACACTGTGTAATGTGTATGGTGTACTACACCCTTCCTCAAGCTTCATGGAATCAGGCCAGTAGTTGTTTTTACATAAACCTGCTGACAAACTGAAAACTTGCAGACGAAGTAATAAAGCAAGACCCGCCACACAGGCTTCTGTTATGTCAGTTGGTACTGTGTATTTTTTTATTTTTTTTCCCCAAATAAAATAACAAATGACCTCAAACTACTTGCCGTGCAGTAAAGCTGAGGCTTTTGGTGCCCACTTTGCTGGTAAGCCAGCCAGGGGTACAGCAACTTCAACTGTAGGTTATTTATAGTGCACCCGAATCATCCAGACAGTCTGTGCATGTTTCAAATATAAACATCAGTTATAAGAAACTCACGTGTATGAATAAACACAAGCAGACACCCGAACATACAGGTACAAATGTTAATACAACAGTAACCAAATTAAAGGTATAGTTAACAATTTTGGGACATACCCTGTTGGAAATTTAATGTTTATAGTAAAAGAGGGTTGTTGAAAAGCCAGCCTTCAAGAAGGGGCGAGGCGGTACATTGTTGAAATAACCATGCTTATTTTCACAGTCGGTGCTGGAAGGTATTCGGTTGTTGAAAAGTGAAATAGTTGTGTAGCAAATGGGGGGGGGGGGAGCAAAAAGTTCAAACTCTGGCATCTTTCTCACCTCCACACAGTTGGCCAATCGGTGTGAAGTGGATGTTTATTTGGGATTGATGGTTTTAGAAAATGGTCGAACACACCCCCCCTCCCCAAGTAGGACAGGTGTGGTGGGGGAGAGGGTTTGCGACAGCTGGAGTAAACTGGCCCCTTAAGGCTCCAACTCACCGCTAGTTAGCTTAGCATAAAGACTAGAAACAGTCAGCCTGGCTTTGTCTGAAGGTGAAAACACCCGCCTACCAACACCTCCGACGCTCGCTATTCCACACGCATATCTCATTTGTTTCAGTCAGTACAAAAACCAAAGGGTAAAAAATGACGAGCTATGGTTTATGTGATTCACAGTGAAGCCTTCAGGAAGTTCACAGCTCCAGGACAAGAAATAGTCAGTTCAGGGTACTGGTAAGTGATTTGATCATCTCTGGAGAAAAACCAGGCTGCTTTCTC